CCTGCCTATGTAATGAAATATCAATTTCTTATACAACTGTGCAACAGTATTTTAGACCAAACTATCATTATGTTGATTTCAAGCAATGGCGTAACTACGATTTATTTTCGAGGAAGAGGGGGTTATTTTATATGTTTATGAAGCTTATAAATTATAATATCTATTAAAATTAAAAATACTAACACTATGTCCTCCTCCAAGTTAGTGCGGGCATATCGCATTCGACAAAAAACAAACTATTTTGTATTTTGCGTTTGTGTTTGTGGCATAGGTGGAAATCGTTGGGGGAGAGCTTGAGGGGACTAAGCCCCCCAGAAATACAAAGTACAGGTCTTAGCCCCTAGCCCTAAAAATTGTTAAGTGACTAAAAATACAATAATTATTATAATTGTAAAATGCATTTTTAATAACTGAATTAAAAAAAAATATACTGTGATAAAAATCAAATCAAATTCGTAAGATTTTAAAAACTTCTTGTCATGACTTAGAACGATCGCAATTAATGTAATATTAATAATATATAATAATACCCGTATATGTTGTTTAATTTAATTAATTAATAATTTCTGTTTAGAATACCTACTCCAAAAATGTTTAAGATAAGGCACCTAATTGTTTTTTGTTTAAATTGTTGATTAAAAATGATATCAAATTGTCAAACTTCGTAAATTGCCTTGTTGAAATAAATAACTGCGCATAGTGGTATCTATAGGTGTAATAAGCAAATAATCCTCAGCCCCCCACAAATTTCACCAAATTTCCCCTTATGGTTTGTGGTGCGTGCACACACTAAAAACGCACTAGCTTAGACATAGACGTAATACAAAAATAATAATAATTTGTATTTATGAATATTACGATGAAATTATAACACCAACAAAAATTGATCATTCACGCCATAGATATGTGTACTACACGCTATACACTGAATAAATACGAATAACGTTGTTATAATACAATTGTTATAATTTACAGGAAGTATATAAATAAAAATATTTTAAATTCATATTATATAAATATGTGACTATAATCATAAAACTACTATTAGGATGATATTATTCGTAGCCATGTAGGAAATTAATTTCAAGAATAAATGTATATACAAGGTCAATAAAATATTATTATTCTTATGAGCGCATTACATTTTGTTATAAATTATTTACTTATTTTTACGTGTCTTGTAATATCGTACATATTACAGAATCGTATTTATCATTAAATTAATTAATTCTATAGTATATAGGCAAATTTTACCAAAAAAAAAAAAGAAAACAAAATTGTATATCAAATCGTTTAATTCGAATTAATATGTTATTTTTATTGTTTATGTGATAGTTGATTTTTCTGCCGACATTTTTATATTAAACCAAATTATAAGACGTAATGTATTAATTAATTTACTGATCGTTTTATTACTTATTTTAAAATAATATTTTAAAGTTAATTTAAAACCCATTTATCAGCAATTTATAATATAAGCTACCTATATTTACACATATCCTTGATATCTTTAAAAATGGACCATTAGTTAAAATAATTTAACGATGTTAAATTCGTGTAAGTTATAATAGTTGTTAAAATACATCTGTGGTAAATTAATAGTATTGTACCAAAAAAATAAATATTATAAGATAATATGATAAAATAGTCTGGTGATATACAATTATGAAACTCAGTTAATCACATTAATCGTGTACTAATATGAGACTCTAGTATTCAAAGTAGGTAACTTCATTGGGAGTCCTCCTAAATCGTGTCAATTTCCATGATAAAAAAAAAATATTTTATTCATTATAACTTGTTGTGCTTAATTGTATAGTTGTATAATCTATTGTTAAATAAAAAATATTATTGAAAATAAAAAGCTTATATAAGTATAACTAAATATGTGAACTGACGTTCCTTATAATTTTGTAACTCGGTGAAAATAGATAGGTATAATCTATTTATTTAATTAAATATCGAAGTGAAGTTTAAGAACCGAAGTATTAACTATAGTCAATAATGAAATTCCCAACCATTAAGTCAACTAAAAAGTTCTTAATATATTTGTTACTTAATAATTATTTATATTTGAAACCAAGTCAAACATTTTCGTAATGCTGAAAAAATGTATATCATTATTGACTATATCTAGATCAACTATCAAATATATAAAACCTTAAATCTGAGAAATCAAGGTTAAAAAGTATTGTGAATTATTGTTATAATTCGTCAACTATTTCTACCGATCAAATCTCAACATTTACATGAGTTATCAAATTTATTTATTAATTATATTAATCTATTATTACATCTGTGATAAAAATACTAACAGCCGAAGACATTAGAACAAAAGTATTTAGTTAATTTCATAATACTTCATAAACTTTGAAACTTTGGTGGTTATCAATACGTGAAACAAAAAAAAGTAAGAAAAAGTATGAAAATTGATAAATAACAAATGCAATTAGGATTGCAATTGAGAAAATTATTATACATTTTGAAGTTTGTACAGAATTTAATACAAAAGCAATAGCTACCTAAAGGAGAATTAGATATATATTACCTACATACATTTAAATGACAAAAATCAATCTACTTATAATAGGTATATGCAGTGCCGCATTTAGACATTTTGCGTCCCGGCTAACCCGGTGCAAAAAAAAAAATGGCGTCCCTCTAAGGGGCCTACCCACAGAAAATATAGGAGATAGATCCTCATGAACCTTTTAGATCAGTGATTCTTAACCTTTTTTTGTTCAGCGCCTCTTTATCGTCAGAACTTACTGCTAACGCTCCCCTCATTTAAAATTATATTTTCTTACTATAAATATAAATATTTATATTTATTTATTCATCAGTTTACTAAATTAAAGTAAAAACTCTTATTTTAAGAAAATAGTAATGATATTTTAATATATATTTTAATTCACTTAACAAAACAATTTTACTTTACTTTACAAAAAAATTTTACTTAACTTTGAAAAAAAAGTTATGAAATAAAAATTATGCCCCTCAATGATTGCTCTGAGTCTGATAAGTAGTTGCTAATGTGGGGATGTCTAGTTCGATATTAGTCAAAACTAAACGTAGATCAAACTTTGTTGTAAATGTTTAACCGATTTCTTTGTTTAGTCAAAAGCTAACAACAACGCTGAATTCTTTTTCAACTAGATACGTTGACGGGAAAGTTAAATGTTGGCGATGTATAACACAATGAACACAAATAATACCTGGAATGGCTTTTTTTAGGTGGGTTATGAACACAACATGACGACCGGTCGCATATAAGCATAGTGTACATTGTTAGAGAACCCAATGAATATACTGTTCTACGATTGGCTCTAATCCCAATGGAATTAGATAACCTTCGGTATCAATTATCTATTATCAGTTATCAAATTTGATTAATCACGGAAATTATATTTCCAAAAAAAAAAAATTTATTTATTAAAATATTTAATAAGTTATATCTAACAAAATATAAAATAATAAATGCTTTTATGTATTATAAGACCCTTAAGGTATATATAAAATATCTAATATATAAATTGGTATCTTTATTTGGTAGATAAATTTATATATTTTAAATTTAATATCAAATTTTTATTTGAGGATAAAACATTGTTTCAAAAAAAATATGTTAGTTATGATAACTAAAAATAAAAAGTAATAGAAAATAATTGTAAATCATATAATCTTATCAACAAATAATATTAATTAAAATTTTGTACAACTGTTCAGTCTGTAAAATCTAAAAAAAAAAAACTATAAAAGACTTTATTAGCATACAATTCGTTGGCCATTCGGAATACTGAAATGGTAGTTCCAATGATTAAAATTAAACTCCCCAAATTCAGAAGCCTAATTATTGATATCTTCCATGTATGATATGTTTGATCTGATGTTAACAGTATTTCCAATTTCTCCAACAATGTCATTTATATATTTTTTTGGAAATATAATTTTGTCAAATTTCAAATCCCAAATAAAAGTTAAAAGTTTAAAAGCATTAAAACGTCTTTAAAATATTCAAAATTCAGAAATTTGATAACAGATAATTTTCGTGATTTATGAATTTCAGATAATTGATAGCGAAGTCGTTATCTCATTGGGATTATAGCCAATCATAGAACAGTATTTTCATTTAGTTCTCTAACAATGTACACTATGCTTATAAGCCGACCAGTCATTGAAGGAACGCCATCCATGCAATAATATTAGTCAAGGAGACATTTTTTCTGGTAAAATATTCCTCCACCGTTTGAAAAATCGACTACCCTTTGGTATCAATGATCAAACTTGTATCAAACAATACTTCCTCGTCGATTTATTATTATTTTTAATCTTAGAGTTTGAAAAAGCTCACCACCCCCTCAGCGACCCCTTCAAAATTATCGCCCCCGGAGAAACCGAAATGCCCCTAAGGGGGTGGCATCGCCCCCGTTAAGAACCACTGTTTTGGATATTCTAAAATCAATGCTATTTTTTTGTAGTAGACACGCTACTGCACGCCACACGCGATAACATAATACGCCGTGTTATTATAAATAACTTATGTTTATTGATATTATTACAACAAATTTGGGAACTAATATTCATAGACATAATATATTATATTATATTATAGCAATATAGCTATCAGCGATCCAGAATATTATTAATAATATAATTATATTATGTCTATGCTAATATTAGGTACATTAATAATATTCTGGATCGCTGATAGCTATATTGCTAAAAATAAATTAGTTCATAGTTGTTTAAATTCCAAACAGCATAATATATTAACATTAATTTATGATACTATTATTAAAAATAAAAAATAAATAATAATTTCAAAATAATTTTAAAAGTTCAATAATTCACAAATAAGCAAATTTCCGACCACAACATTTTGGCACCCCCAAAAAACTAGCACCCGGGGCAGTTGCAGCTAGTGCCCCCCCCCCTAAATGTGGTCCTGGGTATATGTTAAATAAAATCCCGTTAATACAATTATTATTTATTCATTACAGATACCTAACACAAGTATTTGTTCATTCATATCGTCGAGAAGAATGTTTTCATCAATAGTAGGCTAAGCCGGCATCACACGATGACAGTTTTTTCATGAAGCAATTTTGAACTCGATGACATTTATGTCATGAACATTTACACTAGTGATATAAATGTTGCGACAGTTGCTGTCATGAAACAAAAATATTTAGGTATTATACAAAAATGTACGAAACTGTCTTGACAGAAATATCTCGAGTGTTCACACGATGTGTGCAAAATATTTCTGAATACGAACAACAGTCACATAACAACTTGTTTTTATAGTGCGCAGTAGTTACTTTACAGTACTCATATTTTGTATTTTATAATTATTATTATAAACCATGGTATCGAAGCGTGAACGAATTGCGGCTGCTATTATTATTATAGAAAGTTTGAACAAAAAACAAAAAAAGGCTAGAAGTGTGTGGGAACGCAGATGGCTTGAAAGAAGAAAATGCTATGGTGCATATGATACATTATCCCGAGAGCTGAGAATGGAAGATCCTTCACAGCTGAGAAATTTTATAAGGATGTTTGTCGAAGATTTTGAGGAACTAAGTTCGTGGATTGCACCAATTGTCCAAAAAACGGATACCAATATGCATGAGGCGATAATATAATGTAATACAGTTTAATGTTAGTAGTGAGTGATATTGAATGTTCTTAAATTTACTTTTATATATTTTTGGCTCATTCACCCGGCTTGACCCGAATTATATAATAATTTTTTATTAAAATATTAGAAAATTCAATATATATAAATTTACCACTTGAAGCTAGAAAAAATATTCAGCACAATCAGTAAACAGATAGTAGTTTTATGAATTACAATACTTTTTTGTACGTATAATAAAAACTACAATACTTCTTTTTATACTAAATTCACTGTTAGTTCTTGATTAGGTGCATGAATATATAAATTGTTTTCCGAGGTAACTGGTCACTCGATAACATGCGATATTAAATTGGCCATGAATAAAATAAGCATCTAAACTGTCCGGCATTTTCCATTACCGCACAAACATGACACCAAACCGCTTAAAATGCATAACACAGTACCGTTCATAAGTACGATACCGTATAGATATGTAGAAGCATAGAAACTAATTTCGCATTCAAATATTGTACGATATTAATTCGAAGTACAAATTAAAATCGTTAATTAATTATTTCACAGCATTTTTTATTATTATTTTTTTTTTTTTTTGCACACATTGTCAAATAATATTATATTATTATCAATTTGTTCCAAAATAACGAAAATTATTGTTGTCCAAATTAGGTAGTTGAATAATTCCCAAGATTATTTATATACAATATAAACATTGAAATTTAACGTAAAATGTTACGTGCAATGGTTCAGAGATATAGTTCATTCAATAATTTCAAAAACACTCGGTTCGCAATTTTAGTTGGCCCTACTAAGTATGATAACAGGTTTAACTATTTATTTTAGTTGAAATAGCTGTTATTTTCTAGTTTTGAAATTCAACTATAATACATATTGCTACTTCAACTATAATTGTTCAACTAAATCATATTAGTAACTTGAGCTAATTTTATAGCTGTCCCCCAGGCAACTATTTTTTTTAGTTGAAATAAATATAATTTCGGTTGACTTAACTAAATATTTTTTTCCATGTGGTTTGATGCAAAAAATTTAGAATAAAAAACTATTAGCATTTATTTTATTATAATTAATTATTTAAATGATTCAAATAATTTGAAGTAAACGTAAAACACGATATACTCTACATTCAATACAATCCTGATAACGATTTGATGAGTAGTTTTGAAGATTACCCTTGGCCAATAAAATACCACTTTTCATTTTTACCCTTATACAAATAAAAGTTAATATAATTATAATAATTAATAATAGTTAATTTTAATTTTAAACTAATTTCATCATAATTGTTTTTATTTAATTTATATTATTATAGATAAATTAAGAAATATAACGATTTTTTTAAAATTACTTTTAGATTCTGCTATTCAACGTATATTAAGTATCTATGTATTAAAATAATTAAATAATAGTTTAAAATATGGTATGTTTATATTATTTTACTATTAAAATTTATATATTGATTTAACCAACTTAATTACGAAAGTTTAAGGCATATGCTTATACTAGTAATATAGTAGTAAAAATTATTTTTAGACTTAAATACTGATACTCATCACTTAAAATCGTTTTTAGATTTTTCGAGACCAATGATACATTTATTTCAAATGTATAAGAACTATATATTTCATCTATATGACTATATTAGTCATCCGTCCCTTCATAACTCATCCAATTCCTGTATCTCATCCTTCGGTTAATAATATTTTTGTGCATTTGTTAGGTAGTATTGGCAGCTCATTATTTTACCAAAATACAAACACCTTTTTATAACATCGAACTATGGTAATTTTTCAACGTTACTCGGTAAATAATAACATGCTTCGATGTTCATCTAACAAAATATAATATCCGAACTAGTGAATGTTAATACACTTTTAATCAAAACCAACCAAACGTACACATTCTAACTGCAGTATTACTCAAAAAAAAAAAAAAAAAAAACGTTGGCGATCCGTTCTAGTACAATCCGTATTACTGACCTTTGGGCTTGAGCGTAGCGAGTCGAATGGACAATTTGAAGTCGGCCAGGTAACCACGGGGTATGGATGGCAGTTTGGCGCACATGCGATAATGCACCGCGGATCTGCGGACGCGGAAACACACGGAAAACAACAACGCTATGAGAACAACCAACACCGAGCCCAGCAACAATACCGCAAACATGGTGTCAGTGAATACAATATATTACAGGCTAAAACGACCGATTTGGTCGCACTCGAGCCGGCACTATGTTTTATCGACTGTACGCGTCCAAGTGGACCGACGGCGTAGCAGTAAAATTATTCACCTGAAACGGTTGTCCGCAGCAAATTACGACGGTCCCAATGTTGTGTCTACATTTTAAAGGAAGTGCCACGGTGGTGCTGTGGCGGGGATTGGCAATAATCAATCAGGAACAAAACATGGGTCGATCGCTGTGATCCGCGTTACATGGCCTATCGCCGCGCACCAGACGTGCTTGAACGCCATGTCCACAGGAATAGGTAATACTGGTAATACCTGTAGATTTGGATAATTTTTACATCAATATTCTCGTCGTGGAACGGAGTGATTCGCGTTTTTTATTCCGTCGAGTCGGTTCGATCACACCTACACTGATTGCTGAATCGTAGAATAATCTGAGTTAGATATCAATTTGTTTTAAGACGCAACGGATTGTTTATTTGACAAAATGTATATTAGACAGATTTTTGAAATTTTATAGTTATTTAGAGTATATTTACTCATTTTTATGTTATATGTGATATAAATGCATTCTAAAGGTTAACTTTTTTTGTTTTACTTTTTTATAATACTAAACTTGTTTTTATTGTAGGAAAAGACGAAAAAATTGAATTCAATTAGAGTAATATTATAGTTTTAGGCTTAAAAATTATCTACATTTAAAATTGAATAAATCAAATTAGAAAAAATAAACTTTAATTATTTCTATAAAAAAATTCACTTGCATATTTTTGCGCATATTTCATTTATATTAAATGCATATATGCATGCATATTTATTACGATTTGTTTGCAATAAGTCCCGAACCCTAATTATAAGCAATGGATTTTCTATAAATTTGCTAATATTTAAATGTATACCGATAAAAGGATCTGCGTTCGGGGAAAAAAATTGCACTGAACCCGACAAAACGTTGCGTCGGTTCTGCTCCTAGGTTATACAAGTGAAATTGTAGGTATCATTTTTATAATCAAAAATTATTTGTTTTTCTTTGTGAACTTTAGGGGAATGAAAATATGAAATATCCAGCAATGATGATATAAAAATTACTCATTTTCTAGATAAATAAGCTATTTATTTATAAAAAAATGTATAAAATAGGTACTATATTCATTAATGACGATTGATATTTTATAATAATTAATAATATATCAATATATCATAATTACAGTTCGGAAGTCATAGGAATTGCATATTGTTCTGTATGTTCTCGATTTATAGCAAACCAAGCTAAAAATCTGAGCTATATAATGTTGAGTTTAAAAATTGAAAATTAAAAATGCATATTTTGCGTACTTCGTTAATTTTAAAGAAAAAGTGCATATTTCGTTGATTTTCATTGATTTTCGCATATTTAATGTTTTTTAAAAAAATTAATTTTTTTCATTCTTAACCGATTTATTTTAAATAATGTTACATAACACAACGCTAATAACGAGAAAAACGTACATCATAGAAAACTCAATATTATTTTTCGTGGTTATTGATTGTTATTTTTTAATACTAACGAAAATATTGATGGTTCAATGCAATAACTTAACAAGTACTATACAACATATATTTATTTCGTATTTCACAAATAACGAAAATATATTTGTTTAACTATTTTTTCAGTTCAATAAAATCTCAAACGCCAACTAAATATGCGCCATGTTTTAGTTTTCAATAATACAATTTTTTTAACTATAGTTTTTTAAAATTTATTAATTAACTTAAATTAAATAAATATTTTTTTTTGTATATTTCACATTTTTTCATGTATATTTTATCATTTTTTCGTGCATATTTTGCCTTTTTTGGATCCTTTAACTTACGAACCCTAATCATAATACTTGGCTTTGTAAAATAGTTAGCTTAGTCCCAAGGGGAGGGGGGCTAATCAGGGGCGAATCCAGAGTCGGAGAACTGTGGGTTAAGCCATTTCAAGAGGCCATTTACTAGGAATGAAACTGAATTAGAAATGAATACCTTGTAAAAAAAAAAACAATATGCTCATAAAAGTGTAAAAGTATATTTATATTACATTTTAGAATTAGTGATACCACCGATAATGACTTATTTACGATTAATAAATATAATCTAATTTTATCAGCGCAACAAATGTACTGAATAAAATATGATTTTCTTAACTTTCTACTAAAACAATATAATTTAAAATATAAATTATGAATTGAAAATTTTGAATATACATGGCATTCAAGTAACTTTGATGGGCCAACTGTCCAAGAGTCCAAATCAAGGTCTAAAAATAGAAAAATATTACCAAGAAGCCAATTTTATCATCAAATATTAACTGTGGGTCAGCTGACCCCCTGAACCCCCCCTAGATCCGCCCCTGAGGCTAATGCCTCCATAGTCACCCTTGCTAGATTTACGTGTGTTGAACACCGCGAGTCCAATTCTAAACGATTTGTTTTCTTTTGTTAATCGCGATCAAGGTTTATAGATTATAGTGTATAAACCTTGAATCGCGATAGCCAGCTAATGTGTTATCTTTGAAAATATACATGTTGATTGTGGAACATATATACAATCAATGATAATAATAATATTTATAACCAATGATGTAAGCAATCGTAGATAACAAACAAACCAAAACAATAGAATCATTGCGAAAATGTTTCACGTACAACCACTGAACAACGCACTGTTACTATTCGTTAATTCAATGTAACGTTTGTGTGCGTTTTGCTCGCTTATCGTCGACCAATGTTCTCCACGTATAGAAAGAATCCAAAACAATAATAATTGTTCGAACTAATGTTCCCAATGTTCGTGTTAAAATATCTAACATGTCGGTTCAACTAAAAGGTTTTGCAAAAGGCGTTGATCTGACGAAAATTAAAAAATTTTTATTTGGATCTGATGATGCACAAGGTGGGTACTGACGAAACGACCTGTGCAATTTAAGAATAAATATTTAGTACGAATATTTACATTTATCTGTGCATTTCTTTCAGCCGATATACTCAACGACACTGTAAACTGTGTATCTCCCGGTGGTGAAATCATAGTATTTGGACACGTTGATAAAATAATAACATTTACATGTATGCATCTGGACTTATATTTAATTTAATGAGGACATATTAAATTAACTGTTTTCGTTTTATAGTAAAATGGATTTCTAATCCAACCACTGATGTATGCCAAGTTTTCCAAACCGTTTGGAGCAATACCATTACCGAAGCCAACAAGTGTGTACTTACATTTATATTATTAACATAATTTAGTTACAGTTGTATAAGTTCCTAGTTTGATTCTAAATCTAAAACAAAAATTATATTATTTTGAATTTACATGCTAAAATTAATAACACAATTAACTGATTATATTGTTTTAGCGAACAAATTACTTCAGTTATATGTCTCCCTATAGCAGAAGTCAATACAAAATTGTCTACACATTGTAGTCCTGATTGGTTTTGTATTGCTATTGGATTTTCAAGTGGATTTGTCAAATTTTATACTGAAGTTAATTTCTGATTAATTCCTATAATTTATTCAACTTCTTAAATAATAAATTATCTATTTTATTTGTAAGGATGGAGACTTACTGCTGTCACAGTTATTTCATAATAGTGCTGTTATGAAATTGCGTTGTCAAAGTCATCAGCCTGCTAAACTCAATCCACCAACTGTAGAACAACCTGAAGAAATTGCTATATTATACAGTACAGTTATTTGTACAATTGTTGGCACAGTTTTTATTAATAGTTTAAGATCTTGTAAAAATCAATTGGCAAGAAGTGAGTAAACAATTAGAAACTCATTTTTATGATGATGCTTTTATGAATAATTATTAAATGGGAGGTAAAATCCACTTATAAAATTTACTCAATTATTTAACTTTTATAATATAATAATATTGTCATACACGTGTATATTTTGTCTACCCAAATGGTTTTTGAAGATTGACATCAAAGAAAATTACTTACCAACCATAATAATTTAAACTTATTTTTTATAATCTTTACAATTATTGTACTAAGATTTTGATATTAAAGTTTTATTTGTTATGTAAATGATAAAGTGTACTTTTTTGTAAAGAAAAAATTCATTATTTTAAACACAATATATATATATATATTAGTAAATATTTTAATATGTTTATAAAATTTACTAATTTATTTATTATATTTTTTGAGTTCAAGAAAAATGTACAAATAATGTCAACAGCCTCACATTATCATTTAAAAAGTGGGCTTTCGACGTACAGAAAAAAATTAATGATGCTGCTGTTGGAGCAAGATATGATATCACTAGTTTCCAACATGTAGTAGCGGCCAATATATGTAAAGGTATTAGTGGTGATAAACAAAACTGTTTACCACAAATGACTCAAATCATAGCTGCTGGTCAAGAGCCTTATTTAGCATTTCATTATACGATTGGAGGACATGCTCAACCAACTTTAGGAAATATAACCAAAGCAGTTACTAGTAAATTGAAATCTTCTTTTACACAATCGTTGCCGTAAGAATGTAATGTTTTTATAATATTTTATTAATTTATACAGCATATTTACATTTATAGTGGTTGGTTGTCCTTTACTTTATCGTCAAATGAAACATTTGATACACTAGAACCACCTGAACAACTTGGATGTCGGTAATTATTAAAATTTAAATAAATTGACCTATAATTATATATTATGTAAATTATTAATGTTTTAATATTAATTAGATTTAGTTTAAATGATGTAGAATGTGAAGCTTTGAAAATTGAATTAAGTCCACAATTATCTATTGGTGTTCTTTCTGATAATCTAGAAAGGGTGATACTTTTTGAGGTCAATGCTGGAGGAATAATCCGGTAGTTTATTATCAATATCTAATTTGAAGCTCATCCTGATTTTTAAGAATAATAATTAAAAAATATTTAGAACATGGGAAGGATACAAAGATGTTCAATTTGGCTGGCTTGTAGTTAATGAAAATAAAAGTTCTAATTCTAAACAAGCATTATGTTTAGTAATATATATACCAAATAGAGAAGTAATAGAAATATGGTCAATGCAAAACTATGAACAAATATCGATAGTCAAAGTATCCAAGTTTGGGAGGTATTTTTTTGCAGTTTCTGTGTCAAACTTACAATCATTGCTGTATTTTTTTTATTTATATTTCAGATTATATTATACAAATTATGGACTACTTGGAGCTCTCAGTACTTCAAGAATGAACATATATAATGCTAATTACCGTTGTTATTTTGTAGATGAGACAGAAATTATTACAGAAATTAATGTACCTTATCACTGTATAGAAAGGTAAGTTAATTATATTATAAATTCAATAGATCATTATTTAGATTTTATAATATTGAATATTTTTTTATTGTTGTTTCTGAATTTAGTGGCTCAAATAGTCAACTCTCACGAGATATATATGCATTTAAAACGTTTAAGTCATTATGTAAAAGTGAAAATGTGAATGATGAAAAACTGTGTGAAGAAGTAGTGAATTTAGCTAATCATTTAATCACTGATAAAGTAAGACAACAAGCATTTGATTATATTATTTCAAGTAAACATATGACACAAAATGCTATTATTGAATTTTTAAAAACCTTACTGATTAATTTAAAAGAAAAAGGTAATATATTGAATGTTAATTATAGTATTTTAACCTAGTAATAAGTTAAATATAATTTTAGGTTCAAGTGAATCTCAAAATAATGAAAAATTATTGAAAAATGTTGACCGTCATTTAAAACTTATAAAATTTTTGACGTTTTTATTCAATTTCCAAGAAAAACATCGTTTTCAGCCATTATCAATGTCAACTGAAGACAAAACACAAGTATGTTTAGAATAACAGTGTAAATATGTATAAATTTATTACACTCTGACTTTTGTTCCAGGAATTATGTAAAACACTCCGTTTAACTGACCAGGATATGGACAGAATAATTTCTTTACTCCCTATTGAACCAAAAAAAAAAACAATTGTTATGTTCTGTGACAATATGAAACTGCTGAACTTAGTTGAATTAATTGCTTGTTTTGACACAACTGGTGAAAATGTGTCTTTAAAAACTGATAAAAATATTGATGAGTTGTGTAAGACTTATTTTAGTTGGTTTTAAACAAAAATTGTTCGTCAATAAATAAAAATATATTTTAGGTAAACGGTTATTTGAACCTGTTATGCATGTTGATAATGATATCGGTGAGTGGAATTTAGCATGGATAGCTAGTGGTATACAATTGCCAGATATGGTTTATTTAGCTGTTCAATACTGGCTATCAAAACCTCTCACTTTAACTGTTGTAACAGAGATGTTGAATTTTCACAGAGTAATTGATACAATTTGTAATACAAATGGTAAATATTATTAAATTATTTATTTATTGTTGTATTTTTTAGTAACAAAAAATATATATTTCTGCTTTAATTATAGAAAGTAAACTTGATTGGAAAAAAATACAACATCAGTTTTCAAATAGTTCAAATACATTTGCTTGTTTAACTGGAGCTATAATTTGCAAAACTATTGCATCTAGTAAAAAAACAGGTGGGATAATGATTGTAATTTAATTTGCATGGTTGTTGGCATAAAAATTTATGAATTTTGAATTCATACTTGTTGTATTTTTATTTACAGTTAAAGTTAATAACGAATGGGAATGTGTTTCCGGAGAAGATTATCAATGGAATTTATTGATAGAAAGACTTGAACAATTGTGCCATCTTAATGCAACATTGAAATATTGTTCTGAAGAACCTTTTGGAACACTTCATTGCATAAAATATGAGTATTCATCAATTACATTAACAGATTTACTAAAACATGGAAGAGGTAATCCTAGTTATTACATTCATAATAGTTGTATTATTTAAGATTTTTGTTGACTTTAGGTGGAGTGTCAACATTAGTTAGTAAATGGTTGGCTAGTTTAGGCCTTAATCCTACTTTAGTAATTGATGAGTTCCTAATGGAATTTGATAAAGAAACATCCATATCTTCAGATAAAACTCAAGTTATCATGGGTGTTCAGGAAGGTATAGCTATAAATACAGAAGCTGCAATTGAAGCTAGAGCTTTATCTATGGCCGAAAAAGAAACATTAGACATATTAAAACGCCTCAAATACTATTTTCCATACAGCTTGGGTGGTAATACATTACTGAGTAATATTTTTTGGGAGTATATATCTGTTTGGAAAAATTGTGTTTCTGATCTTAGACCACTATATGCAGCTTTAAATGTTGTTGATAAAATACCTTGTCCGCATACAAGACAAAGCAAGTTGTGTTCAATCATTATACTGTAATTATTGACTAACGTTATAATTATTCATTTTTTGTTTTTAGGTGTTTGTTATTTAGTATGGTCTACACATTTATCACCGGTTTTTGTGTCAGCAATAAAGCTCATTGATCGAGTAGGAAAAGTTCCTAAGGAAAAATTGTGTATTCAAGATGTTGGAATGCCAGATCAACACATTGTTAAATTATTCGACTTATGTGAACAATTTTTTGAAATCATTATTAAGGTGGTATTATAGTATACAAAGATTTATATTGATTTTTAATAAATTTGAATTATTTAGTCATCTTTATCAGCTGAAGAAGCTGAACTTGCTGAAATTAAACATGATTTATTTTGGGAAAATTGGAAAAATAATAACCAACATACACTTACTTTAGTTCAAATGGCATTAAATAAACCAAATCCTGATCAAAAAACTTTGTTTTTATCTCATCAATTTACACGAGCATTTCATATACTAGCTAAATTTTCAATATACATAAATAAACCACTTAACAGTTTGTTTGACTGCAATGTAAGAAAATACTAAGTTACCCGTGCTGTAGTTATTAATAATTATATATTTATTTATAGATACAAGAAATTGATTTTTCTAATTTGGATCAAAATACATTTAGTCAAGAAGAGCCAAGAACCAAAGTTAAAAAGACTAGAACTGAATTCCTGGCAAATTCAATTTATACAGCTATTGGTCTTGTACAAAAAGATTGTCAGGTATACTTAAAAATTCATCTTAAATAAAAAATGTTATCCTAAATAAATGTATAAACCGTTGTTATTAATTCGAAGTAAGGTCAATTTAATTTTGAAATTTTAATTTTAATATTGAATTGTTTAAAAAATAATAGCTCCATATTATATCATGAATTTCTTTGAAAAGAAAATCTTCAAAAATATATCCCACTGTAAAAAAAAAACAATTGTTTTCAATTAAATTGAGTCAATCTTATATATTGTGATGCAATTATTTATAGGATGGCCAATATGAATTTGATAGTAGGGAGTGTACATTTTGGATGAGTAAAATATTTCAATTAGCCATTGGCTGGCAATTAAATTTGGATGATCTGAGAATACATCAAGTTATGTCACTCTACTCAAAAGGGCATGATCGATTAGCGGAAGAAGTAATAAATATATTTAACTTAATCGTTCAAAATGCAAACTAAAAAATTATAATATAATTTGATTCTAATAGATTATACCTATTGTCAATAATAAAGAAAAACTTATAAAACATCTACTAAATGTTATAAGACACAGATTAAAATTTGAAGTATGCATTAGTGATTTAGACTATCATAACAAAATTGTACATTTTAGTCCAGAAATAGTTTCTTGGCTAAATGGCCCCGTAAGTTTTGAATTATAAAATATTGAATAATGAATTAAAAATAATCTATTACAAAATTTATGATTTTAGATTACAATTGATGTTGAAAAGTCGTTGCTGAAAGATACTCTAGAATTAGTACAAACTATAATAAATCTACTACCTGAAAATGACAGTCAATACGAATTTGTTACTAATTTAATGGATAGTATAATATCTTTAACTAGCAGCTGATAAATATATTTTTTAGTATGTACAGTGTTAAAAGTTGAACTATTAAATATTACAATGTAATTACTTATATCAACATATAAAATATGTTTTTTGTTTTTGATAATTTTATTTTTTATTAACAAGAGTTAGCTATGTGAAAAATTATTTTGTATTTTTATTTAATTTTACAATTGTAACAAAATTTATACTTCAGACATAAAAAAAATTATAAATTATAAAATAACTAGATTAACATACACCTAGTTTTAAAATTTTTATTTTTTATTTTTTATTTTTCCATAGTTTTTTATAATATCATTAGATAATTTATTTCTTTTCATTATTGGTCTCTTATTAGTTTTTGATGTCCTCACCATAGTTTTCGGCAATTGAAAAAGTTTTTCTTGATTTTTTTTAGTTTCAGCATCTTTACGTAGTTTTTCTTTCAATAGTTTATAATTTATATTCTCTTTTTTTCTAGGTTTTGCTCCTAATTTAATAGCGAGCTGTTCTTTTGCTTTGGAATTTCGGCTATCAAAATTAGTTGTAAATTTAAATATTTCATTTTGCAATTTTCTTAAGTTCACGTTTTCATTGATTTTTGAGTTTGAAGAATTTTCATTTAAACTTTTATCTTTGACAACTCGTTTTAATTTTTTCTTTGTTTTAAGATTAATTATTTCAACAGGTGGACATTCGCCTTTCAGTTTTGAGCATAATGTTTCCACGCCACAATTTATATCCATTATTATAAAATCTAGAAAAAAAAAAAATTTAAATCATATTTTAAATTATATAACATTTCTTGTAATAAAATCAAGGCCATAACTAAATAGTAAATAAAGTGTTGACTACAAAACATGCAATTCAATTTTGTAAAAAAAACTGCATTAAACAAATTAAAAAAATAGTAAAAATGAGGTACTATTTATTTTAACCAAATAAGTATCATACTTATTAAAACTTAAAACTATCTAATAACCCATTGTTTAAATTCATATATACTCGGTTTTTATGTGTTTAGATAATATTTTTAAAAATAATTTAATAAGGAGTGTTAGACCACATATTCACTTGGTGAAATTTTGTTATTTTGTTTATAATAGGGTTTACTTCATGATAACTGTAGAAATGATAAGAAATTTCAAAATATTTTCACAATATGTTCCTTTGATTGCCCTATATAATCAAGTCTAGTATTGAAGTCAATGATTCTTAAAGAAATTGCTATACATCAAGATATGGTACAGAAAAACAAATTGTATTCATGATGGGATTATTTAGAATAACAACAAACAGACAAAAATCATACTATATAATACATGTCTAACTGTAATAATTACAGTTGGAGTGTGTCGTCAATTCAAAAATGATTCGAATCCATACCATAATACAACACACGCGTGGTCAATAACTTGTAAGAAACTTCAATAAGACTACGATATAGAAGATTTATAGAAGCATAATGGATTGCATAAGAATTGTCTTCTAGACAGCGACTAGACAACAGGTTGAAAATCATATAAGCTGTGGGGACATCATAAAATAAAATGTACTTACTCTGAACCGATAGAACAGTAACAGGAATCGTCTGTTCGTTTATAACAGTAGTTTCGCAGCCACATTTATTGTCAATGCATTTGAACCGTTGTTGTAATACGAAATTGAAACGAAAACCTTTTGAAATCCAATAGGTAACGGCCAAGACGTGTAGAAGAGTGAGAAATGCCCATGCGGATTGCAAGTCAAGCTCATCGATAACTGATAACTGAAAATTGATAAGGCTATTAAAATTATTATTATTACAACACAGCAATTTCGTGCCGATGTGTTTGGGATTGCTCTCAGTGAAGTTAACTTTGCCAAATTATAACTTATGGAGTAGTTAATACTATGTACAATGAACTCCACTTTTATGTCATATTTATTATTTAGTACCAAGTGAGAAACAGGGTCATCTAGAGGGGAGGGGACTTTGAAACTATTTTTCCTCGGGCCCCAAACTTTTAGTGGCCACAACATCCATTGTTTTTTTTTTTTTTTTGATTATGGTAGAGGAAGCTAAGTTTCAAGTTATACATATTTATTAATATTTAACAAATAATTGAATTATACAAATTGGTAGTCACAAATAGTTTTTTTTTTAATATTTATATTTGCGAAGTAGCATTTGCACAAAAAGTACTTATAAGTTATAATTAATGATAATCCCTAGAAATGCGGCGCGTAATAGATATTTTATTAAGAATAATAATTGTTGATTATTAGTGCGACAGTGCGACGTAGCATCGTCGTGAATCGGCCGCGATAACCACAGATTTAAACAATAACATCAAACGTGGTATTTCTCCCATAGCAATATAAAATATTAATTTTGAGTATTGACTGCTGTTTTTGTTTCACTTTTCGATTGAAGACTAAACAAAAAAAACCGTATAATAACATAACTAGTATAATTTATACTAAACATTGTTCTTACCTAAAGTACTCATACAGTTGTACATTCTATGGTTGTACCTATTTAAAAAACTTAAGAGGCAAGAGTTTATAATGAAAAAAACGATATTAAATTATACATTTATAATTAAAGTTATGAGTTTTTCCAACAAATTACGTGGATCCTCTGAATTTTGATTACGTGTATTCTAAATGCGCAGTTTAAATAATATATGTGCATTTATAATATTTTATTTAAACCAATATAATTTTATTGTATTGAAAAGGGCTAAAACCCCACAACCGCCTCTGGTTTTCCACTGTATAGGCTTTAAGTTGCTTCAAGCCCCATTAAACTTAACGACGATCTTGGAGAGGAATGTACTTTTTCTCTTTCGCCTTTCTCCAAACTATTTGGGGTCAATTACCATTGTCCTAAACCTCCACTCGTCTCAATTATTTACATCCCCTACACACACCACAAACAACCCTCATATAATTCTCAATCGTATCGAAGTGAGGATTGTACAATTATATAATATTGGTTTTTTATAATCGAATTACTTATTGCTCTTGCAGTTCGATCCCATACAATAGAATTAAGTTATTAATTCTTCAGCTCAGTCCAGATGATTCAAATTGTCTAAAAATTTGATGTGATCCTGGTTCAAATCTGAACTTAATTATTATTTTCAACGAAAATTGTTGAATTATCAAAATATTTGTATGCATTTTGATAGTTAGAGGCAGTGGCGTATTTAGGAATTTTGCTAGGGGGGGGATGAAATATATAATAATACATCCTAACACCCATAAATTCGTACATAATATACATTTTTAAAATCCCCTAACTTGTTACCTATTGAGGTTAGTGTGGATCAAGGCAAAATAAGAATTAATCTTTATAATTACCTCATAATTTTCCAAACAAATTTTTTTATTTGTACTAAAATAAGAAAATAAAGTTTATTTTTGTTTTTGAGTATTACTCATATTGTCTTAAAACTTCACAGTTACAACTTACAAGACGCAAAAAATAAAGTCGAACAATAGTCAATTCGGCAGTAAGTCAGTACTCGGAATGGCGCGGCGTCGCTATCCGTCAACGTCCAACGACCGTACATATCTACTTTTAACGAATCACAATATCATACGATAAAATATATATATATATAGCTATACATTAGCCATAAATCTACTAGTAACAAATTTTCTAAAAATAAACCCGCCCGGCCGCCCTATGGTTAATCCACGGTCCTCATGGTCATTTTGTTTTGTTTACCGATTGCTTATCGGGTTTATTATAAACACTCTTGCATGAAAAATAATTCGCAGAAACGTACAAAATACAGTACAGCATAATATAGGTATAGTTTTTGTTGCCTGATAGTCGTACATGCCGCCAACGATAAACAATTAGTGGCGATTAGTATATCAGACTATCAGAGCGGTACAATTACCACGACTAGAACATTTAGAAAACAGAAAACATACATGCTTGAAAGTAATATCATATTAAGAATATTAGAGAAAATGAGACAACTTATAGCTACCTAGGAAAAAAAAAAGGTCAAGGGGGGGATCTATCCCCCATATCCCCCCCTGTAAATACGCCACTGGTTAGAGGTATGAGATATGAGTATGTATAGAGGATAATACTCATAGGTTAGAGTCATTTTTGATGTGTAAAAATATAAACATAATATCTGAAACATAAACCGAATTCTTTAACTTGTATTATATAGGTAAACATTTTATAATGATAGATGCAATTTTTTATTCTTATTCGAAATGTAATTATTCATGAATTTATATTTATACAAAGTTAAGCAGTGCTCGACTTGGCATAATTAAAAAAGGGGGACTCTATTTACTTTAAAAAAAAGAACGTCCCCAAAACTGGCTGAGCATTATGATTATAGCGTAATAATAGTAGGGGGACGTTAACATTTCTAAAAATTAGTTGGGGTACTCCGACCCCCTGCGTCCCCCTCAAGTCGAGCAATGAAGTTAAGTAATTAGATACCTAAACACTGGGTTGTTCTTAAGATTTGTGATTAATTCAAATCAATTGCCGACACAAAAAAATACTTGAGATGCAATATCATAATAAGTTATAAGTAACGTCTAGATTTTTATGCAAAAAATATTGTTGAATATGCACAATGTGCAATGCATTGCACATATTTATACATACCTACAAAAATTCAAAAAAGTTCTTTATTATATGTTCAAAAAATTAATTAAAAATAGGTTTTACGGAATAGTAAATTATTAAATAAATAATTATCAATCAACTATATAAATTCAGAATTAACAACAACAAATATTAATTTTGGAACAAATACCAACACGGAGTTACAAAATTTGTTTTCAGATTTTTAAAATGGAAACTTTTACGATTTTCACGTAGCATAGATTTTTACTAAGAAAAACTTCTATCTATGTCATAAGACACTATTACTGCATATTTAAAATAAGATATGTCTCAGATAACAATTCTACAAAGACTTCATTTTCGTTACTTATTTCTCCGCTTAATATTCTACAAATTGTTTTATTTTGAAAATACCCTGGATTTATGGACAATATTTGTAATAGTATATGTTTAGCATAAAGCATATATATATTATGCCTATTATTATGTCTATTACTCATTTTTTTTCAATAGACTTAGTTAAAATACTTTTTATTTATTATTTAAAAATATGGATTTTTTTATGCAATTAGTATAAAGAAATATTCATTGTCATTTTTACTTAAATATGCAAAAACAAAAATCATCCATAGGACTATATACAATTTTATAATTACAATTATGTAATCAAATTATTTTAGATGAATTGTAGAAGAATATGCATTCGCATAAAAATCCGAGCCCTAGTTATAAGTAATAACTAAATATATATAAATATTTGAATCATTTTCAAACCAAAAAATTAGTGATGAGTCAAATTGAATCGAACCAAACACTAGATGTTTAATAATAAATGTTTAAATTATGTTTAGTGATACTATTATAAGATTAGAATCACCGTTTATCTTCAATTAAAAATGTAATTGAGCTTAAAAAATAATAGTCAAGACACAATATCGTAAGATGCATTAATTTTTAATTTTTATACCAAAGGCTTTAATATTGTAATATTAATATTAAAAACATTTTTCGTTGTAACTTTCAAAATTTATCATTAATTTCATAATGATGACATTTTTGAGAATATTTTGAATATAAATATTTACGTGATATACGAATAATGTTTATTTAATTTAAAAAAAGCTCAAAAAATTTTCCTCCCCGGCGGGGAATCGAACCCCGGTCTCCCGCGTGACAGGCGGGGATACTTACCACTATACTACCGAGGACTGTGCTACTTTTTAGAAATTTTGTACGTTTTGTGATCAGAGGCTTTTACTGATAAAGTATGATACTATAATTTAAATTTTATACTACATAAATAAATATACATATTAATAATATTATCTTAAAATATTATTTTTTTTGCAAGAAACTAACGATTCGCTACACCTAATAAGAAATGTAAACCTATAATTCTAATAAAGTGTAAATATACGTAATAGCCATAGAGTAATACTATTATTCTATGGTAATAGCTTAACCTAATTAGGTTAGGTATAATAATTGTTATTAACTGTGTTTCTAATAAAAGTATTAAGTATAATTTAATAAGTATTTTTTTTTAATTGAAAATAAAATTTACAATAAAGAAATTGTGAATAAATTGTAATATAATAAATATAATAATATACAACTTATTAAGATACATATGAAAATAACAATTATATTTTAAAATTAAATTTATACTAATTGTAATTTTTCACTCGTAGCAGTATTAACAATTTCATATTATTCATTGTTGTTTAATAATATATTTTTAAGAAAAAAATTCGTCAAAATAAATAAAAATTATTTTTTTCATTGTTATACAATTAAGAACATAATATTATACATTTTATGGTACCTACCGAGATATGCGTACAAATTCAAACGCAATGGCTATTTAATATAAGCATTGATTTTATATTACACTATTATTTATGTATGTATATTATAAAATCAATAGTACAAGGTACAGCAGTAGCCATTTATTTGAAATCTGATAACCAATAGGGATGTGTAGTTCATGAGCTAGTCGACTTAGTGAGTCGACTCTTAAAAAATGAACTGGACGAGTCAAATCAGTTTTACAAGAGTTGGGACTCAGTGACTCAGTTAAACTCACAACTCATAATTGCATTACTGTAGATACACAAATCTCGACTCCCTTGATAACGGTTTGCGAATCCAAACGGAAAATGTAATACCAACTTAAACAGTAGTTCCCTTTGGATTTGCTTATTAATATTTCTATTGTTTCTTAAAACAAGATTTCTGACTTTCTGAGAAAAATTCGTAACGTTTACGCTTATAGTCATAATTAGTTTGTGAATCGAATCAAGAGTCGAGACTTGAAGAGTTGATTAGAGTAATGGTAATCTGATTCAAACAAAGAGTTGAAGATTTAAGAGTCGATTCTTTGATTCAACTCATTACACTAAACTGAGTTGAAAGATTCAGTTCAGCAGAATGAGTTGGAATTCCTATCTCTAATAACCAGTGAAACGAAATAAATCTCATATGGATTCAATGTAAAATTTATATTCCCAGCGGATAAATTATTACATTAATTAATTAATAACTTTCGTAATGATTTCATGAATAATAGTCGTATCTCCAATGAAAATACTTGACTGTTGATTGGATTTCCTTAAAATATTAAAAATGTGGATATTATCAGAATAAACGATCCAACATAAATAAATGAACAATATCTAAACCATTAAAGCTAGAGATCTCTAGTCATCATGGCCCAAATTATTCATGGGTACGACGTTATTGACGGTTTAATTTTTTTTCGCTAGATAGCGCTTATCGACATTGGTCAGAACATTCTAGATTATTATTGTTTAATCATAACCTATTAGCTGTTCGATTTGTAATTTTAAATTTTCTCATATAGTTGCCCATTATAAATAATTATTAAATATTTATATTATATGCAAGACAAATTTAAGTTATTAAAAATTGTTTGGTATGATGTAGTTTAATGTTACGCTCTACTTTTTAGGATCTTTTCATATTTATTATATATTGTGTGGATATCTCCTAATGAACTAGCATCAGTAGTGGTTATAACTTAACCATTATTACTCATATGATGAAGCACGTTTATGAATTAAATTTGATTATTCTAAGGTGCGCCTTGAGATCTTCTCCAGAGGGTCTCAAGTAAATTCTGATGCTCCTACTGATGCTCATTATTGTTAAAGAAGTACTAACTACAATTTTAATATCTACAACCTATCTTTTTTATCATCATTATTAGAACAAAAATTGTTTTTTATTTTCCTCTTGGTCATTATTACTTTATACTTTTTTAATTAACATATAGACATTGTATTACGACAACTCAATTTCGCGTTAAGTTTTATAATTCACAATTTATTTAGGAACTATAATTTTTACCAACGTGGCGTAATCTATAGTTGATTATATTATTACAATATTATATAATATATTATTTATTAAAAAATATAATTGTTAATTACGTGTATTATGTAATAAATGTACTTGTAATAAATTATAATATTAGAAAAAAATTATTCATATTATAATTGTACGAACTTTGGCAAAGAGATTAAACAAGTATAACCAGATACGAACAAGAAGGTACTCAACCAATAATCAATATCATATTTTCACACATTTCAAATTGGTAACAGAATACAAAAGAAAAGTATTGAAATTGTTATGTTTCAACCACTTGTAAGATCTGAATTTGCTATCATAGAATTTATTGAGTTGAACATCAGTTAAACGTTTTGGGTAAAAAAAATTATACCTGTCCATAAGTTTTTACTCAGTACTTATCATAAATATATAAATATATTATACCTTAGAACTTCATCATGATAATATACAGTATACACTACAGCAGCGTTTCTCAAACTGTGGGTCGCGAGTCAATTTTTGGGGGGTCGCAAGAAGTTTTTTTAATTATACAGATTTAAAGAAACAAGCATATTTATCACATACGCCTAATTATTAATTAAGTATTATATTATTATTATTATAAAGTAGTGAATAAGTAATAAAATAGAAAAAATTTGTTTTTTGAAATTATTTTTATTGATTCTGTAAATGTAAAACTATGGGGTCGCGATAGATTTTTGGAAGAAAATTTGGGTCGCGGTCCTAAAAAGATTGAGAACCACTGCACTACAGTTCTTTTTATTCTTGGTATACAATATTATGTAGTACAATAATGATTTAAGCATTACTTATACAATAACAATACATTAATAAATTCAAACTAATAATGTGATAACAAATAAAAACATTGACTACCATGCATATGGCTTTCGAATGAATAGTAATAATTCGTTAGTTAGTTGCTATCCAATATTAATGCATATTTTTGTGGAACACAATTATATAGTAGTCACGGTCTTAGAATAACATAATCTTAGATTGTAGATAAGAATGTACGAAAAGATGATCAATACTATTATCTACAGATCAGATTATGAGTTATGGCTTATCTTTATTCTTCATGGTTAAGATATTAAGTATTTTAAAAGTAAATTTTATATTAAATCACTAGTCCGTGACCACTGATCACTGCTAAGCTGAAGAGCAACTGTGCTATATTTTTAAAGTTTTGTAATTGTCATAGACAACACATTTTTTTAATTGTTCTCAACCATCTAGCCAGTAGACTGAAAGTTTTGTTAATTATTCATATTGTTTCAAAATATCCATATATTTTTTTGTTAAATGAGTATTCCAGGAAATACCGTTCCTTGTTTGAAGTTTTCATTCGTCAGGATTCCTATGTTGCAGTTAAAAAACAAGTGAGATATGCAATGAGTAAAGAAAAATTTTCAGGTACGATTTATTAATTCACTTACAATGATAATATATGTATGATCCTATATTTGTTACGTACCTACTCCCTTTAAAGTTGTTTTTCAAGCTTAGCTGTTTAAATTTATTAATTATGTTAAGTACAACAGTTTATTGTGACATACATTTTAATGTATGGTTTAGTTGTTTCATAATTATACGAAAAATGCATCATACCTACCAATAATATTTTTATTTTTTTTTAGTAAATATTTTTGAATCTACTACTTTAACTCAACTTTTGTTATAGATAGCGCATCTGTACTTATAGAACTTTTAGAAGTTTCAATTCACTGTATACTGTATGCTAGGAAAATTTATCCTGAAGGTATTTTTGAACTGAAGAAGAAATACAACGTTCCAGTACATGTAAGAGTTTTGTTTTTATATATAAAAATGAAGTGTTTAATACCATTTAAGCTTTAAATAGTAAATTAATTGTATGACAATTTTACTCAAGGACTAGACTGGTTGTGAAAAATTTTCAAAAACATTTTTAAATATATTGGCATATTTAAATTTTAATACAAGTTTACTGTTATCCAATTCAAAAAAAAAAAATAATTAAAAAATTACATAAATTGTGGTTTGTTATAGTAAGAAATAATTTCAGTTTTACTTGAAGTCAATCAATAACAATTATAAGTGAATAATAATAAATAAATTTGAATCATTGGTACAGTGAACGTTGCTTATATGACCCACTCTGAGACCAACATAAAGTGAATCTTATAATCAAATTAATCTTATATGTAAGGTGGATAAATTATAAACAAAAATTTGAATTAATTATTAATTTTATTTTGCTTTTACTATTTATTAGATATGACATATGTATTATAAAAAAATATATTATTATATACATTTTATAAATATTATTATAATTTATTACAATTTATATTATTCATTAAAAAAAATTCTGATTTATTTTATTTTTTAGGTTTCTATTTATCCAGAATTGAATTCATACATAAATGGGACTCTCAATGCTGTTAAAAAAATATTATTATTAAAAAAGTTATGCAAATTAGATGTTTGTTTTTATAACAAGTTTGGAGTTGCAGTTGAACGCTTTGTGTTCAAAATTCATAATGTTGAACTTGAAATGGATTTATCAGATTTTTCGTAAATATTCTTTGTTTAATTGTGTTTCTAATGAACAATTATGTTTTTAGTGATTATATATTTTTAACTTTAGGAATCTAAGAGATCCATACTTGGTAAAATTAGAACAAATGTTGAGAGCTTTCTGTTTAAAATTAACAGTTAGTGATACTCTCTTAAATCCTTTGCCTTTTGGTTGTACATTTCAAATTCATATTCATACAACTGAAACATGTTCTATTGAAATCCAAAAGGATACAGAAGTATGTATTTATAATATATTTAATTAAAATTATAGATTACTAAAGTGTAATGTGGGCCAGATAGTAAAATAGTTCAAGTAAAAATTGATTTTCTTTTTGTTTCTTTATACAATGTGAATAAAAATAAAAATTGATATTATAATGTTATTAGAGTAATTTATGTAAAAATATATTTTTGTCCTATTATTTTATTGTAAAACAGTAGGTTATATAATAATTTACAAGTTAAAAAAAATATTATCAATATATTAATTAATGTAATCTGACAAATTATATTTTAATTTTTAGGAATTTCCGTTGATACCAAGTGAAAATAAAAACACTTTGTTGATATCACCTGTGGTAGTACCTTTGCGTAGTATTGAATGTGAGCATTTGAAGTTGGAAATTTATGCTGAAGAAGGAAACAAGGAAGATAATTCAAATTTATTTACTCCAAGTCCATTAATTTAACTCAATATTCAACAATAATGAGTATTATACATGCCAAACTTAAATCTTATTTTACCCTTATGTGTATCATATAAATAATAGATACAATTTTTTTTTAAATTAATTTAATTTATAGATAAATATTTTTCTGTATTTAATGTAGTACAATTTTCAAGTTAATAAAAAAAAAAAAAAATTTAAGTAGTAAGAATTACAGCAATGCATATTAATTGTTTATCATATTATAATATTTTAGGCCTATTATGTTTGTATTCATAGTGCCAATGCTATTATCCTGAATTGGGTGTACACATTGTAAAATGTCTAAAAACGTATTATAGTTTAAAAATATAATTTTTATTATTATCTAATTTATTATTTCTGTATATATTATTTTTCTTAATATATTTTATTACACATTTGAAATGTATAAAGCTATTATTGATTATATTATTATATATTATTATAATTGATAAATATATTTATAAATAAAATAATATGTTATTTCACTTTATAATACACATTGTAATACACTAATACACTATTTTTTTGTAGTTGCTTGGGCTGTCATTTTATTCTTCTTCATTGTTATAATGAAAATTATTTTAAATGTACCTAATCTATTATTTATATACATTGATCTAGACAAAAAAAATATATGTATATATATATATATATATATATATAGTAACAAAACAGGTTATATTCAATACTAATTTCAAGTCCAAATATGATCAGAGTGAATTTTTTTAGTATAGATAGAGCAAATAAGTTGAATGAATGTTTCAAAAAATATTCAATACAAATTTTAATTAATAAGCGTAAGGCAGTATTAATATTAACTATTTAAAATCTAAACATATAGATATGAAACCATTAAAAATTAAATCATCTTTTCACATTAATTATTTCGAATTCACAAGGAAAAGATTAATGACAGTCTAAATATAAATATAACATAATTTTTGATATAAAGATTCATTGAATTTTGAAAAAAAAAATTTAAGGATAAGGAATTCCAAAGTTCAAAAGTAGTTATTGTGAAGAACATATCATTATAAAATCGGTACATCTGTTTTATTCAATAGAATCTGAAATTAAAAAGTTTAAATAATAATTTTTTATTTTTCCATATTCTATAATAATGAATATAAAAACTAAGTTTTACTAATATGGTTGAAGGATTTGTTAAAGTAAATAATATAGGATATTCAAATAAATATGTATTTATAAAGTAAAATGTATATAATTATTTTCTCTTATTTATATTTATATTTAATGTATTTTAGTAATTTATCACGACACCAAAATATAATGATTTTAACAGTTAATAAAATAAAAACAAATTATAACATAACATAAAAGCAGTATAAAAATGTTATTTAATTTTCTCAATCATTTCGGGAACAGCTTTGAATAAATCAGCAACTAATCCATAATCCGCTACTTGGAAAATTGGTGCATCAGGATCCTTATTAATGGCAGCAATGGTTTTAGAATCTTTCATACCAGCCAAATGTTGGATAGCACCAGAAATGCCAATAGCCAAATATAACTCCTATGATAAAAATTGTTTTAATTCAATATATTTTGATTAACATTATCTAAAAAGAATATTATAAATTACTGGAGCAACAATTTTTCCAGTTTGTCCAATTTGCATGTCATTTGGAACAAATCCAGCATCTACAGCTGCTCTCGAAGCTCCTACACCTGCACCCATTTTGTCAGCTAGATCATAAATCATTTTGAAATTTTCCGTAGATTTAACACCTCGTCCTGAATAAATAAAAAATGTTATCATTTTACTAAGATTTATAATACATAAGAACATTAAAATACCTCCTGACACAACTATTTTGGCAGATGCCAAATCTGGTCGGTCATTTTTACTTAATTCCTGGCTAATCCATTCGGAACCAGTTCCTTTTTCATAGCTACTTGAAGGTACAGCGTCTTCAACAGTACCAGAACCACCATCAGGAGCAGCTTCAAAACTAGTACTTCGTACAGTAAGTACTTTGACAGAATCCAAAGACTTTAAAGTCAATACAGCATTTCCTTATAAAAACATAATTTACAAAATTAAATTAAGTTTTTATTTAATCAAAAATATAATACAAATAAGTGTATGAAAATGAATCATGTAAAAACATTATTTTAATTCAGAAATGATAAATAATACCTGCATAAATTGTTCGCACAAAGGTATCAGGAGATTTGATGTTAATAACATCAGTAACTGGAGAAACATCTAATAATGCAGCTACTCGAGGTAAAAGTGATTTGCTTTGGGCACTGGAGCCAGCTAATACATGGGTAGCATTAATTTGTTTTTGTGTGGCTAATACTAGGGGAGCTACAATTTCTGGTAGAAAACCTTTAAATTCTTCTCCTTCAATTTTAAGTACTTTATTAACACCAGATACTTTGGATACTTCTTCTACTACCTATTAATTAATAATATAATAAATAAACCTATTGTTGAAAATTTATAAAATATAATGTACATTTTAATTTTAAATATACATAATATACCTAGGTATTGAGTATGTAATCAATTTTTTTTTAGAGATATGTCAAAGATCTTAGAATAACTAAGCTTATAATATATTAATGCTTAATATGATAAGGAATTTTGGTTCTATATATAATAAAAACTAAAAAATAATTAATAGTATTGTAAAATTAAGATATTAAACGTGTTATAAAACAGTATAAATGTAACAAAAAAAAAACAAAAGTAGAAAACATTACAATACAAGAATGATTACATAATAAACTTTTTAAAGTATTTATAGATGAAATACATAACCTAAGAACTTAATATGGATTTAACCTTGATACAGTTGATCACTGAGGTTATTATGAAATATAAATAGATATAAATTTGTATTGGAAAGGTATATTAATTAATGTTGAATTTAAAAATAAAATGAGAATTGACATAATTTAGTAAAAAAGTTAAAAAGCCAATAATTTTAAAAAAAATTTAAATTTATATTCAAACATACAGATCCAATTTTGGTACCAGCAACAAGTACAGATACTTCACCACCAAGTTTTTTCGCAGCTGTCAGGGCGTTACGCGTTACTGCAGCAAGTTTTTCGTTGTCATGTTCGGCAATGATCAACGTACTCTGAAATCTATGACCATTGATCTTGACAAGAAAAAAAAATTAACGAGTGTAAGTAAGTATAAAAGTGTTAATAATCTAGTTAAAATATTACCTTGGAGCTAATGTTTTTCGAGTTCCTTAAAATTTTATTTAAAATCATTTTTACCACGGTAATTGCTGTAAGATTAGAATGAACTAATTGGGTTTGTGAAAACAGAGTAAAAAAATAAAGCGAGGGCACAAGACTAGGAAATGTAATGACTTGGCTATCACAATAGGAAACGTTAAAGATATTACCTGATCAAAGGGTATTGTAATTATGATTAGCGTTATCATAACAAGGGGTAACCAAAGTAGTCATGCCATCGAATAAGTTTATGGAATATATTACTCTATATCACCGTAGTATAGATTAAATATGACTGAATATTTTTTTAAGTATTAAAATTAATTTAACTATATTTTCATTCCTTTAATAAAGTAAAATTTATAATTCTTATAAGCTGTGATTATTTGTTTTTTCAGTATTTAATACATTTTTATGAAAAATCATATTTCCCCAAAAAAAAGAATATTTATGTTTATTAAATATTGTTTTGATGAAATTATAAAGCATAAGAACATCTAATTTTTAAAATCTTAAGCGCATATTATTTCGGTCTCTAATTATAACTGTTGGTTAGGCAAGGGCGCCTAAATGGGGGAGGTAAGGGAGGGACATGTCCCCCCTGGAAAATGTTTAATATGATTAGAAAATATTTATTTAAATAGAATTTAAAAATTTAATTTAATATATGAAAATCAATAATTTGATTATGAAAAATCTATTTATTTAGTTTGAAAAATCAGGTTATCAGCTATAAATAACAATACGCTTTTTTGTTTCTATTCTATGGATAATTATTAGAGCAGAGGACTTGTAGCATTTGCATATTTTTTTTTGCATAGTCACAAAAATAGCAGAGTGCGAAACAAATACGTTTCATGCTTTCACAAAACTAGTTTTGAAATTTTATTTTGCATATAAATGCATATTTTGTGTTTTTTTGGTTTTTAGGGCATATTTCTTCCATTTTATACTTTTAGATGCATATTTTAAATAATTTATCATTTTATTAATATTTTTTCGTCGACATTTTTATTTATAATGTTTATACAAACAAAATAACGTTGAATTTAAAATTATTTTAAATTTTGATCATAATATTAATATGGTTTTTGAGTTTTCCCAGACCCATCATGGTTTTACTAAAAACACGTCTCAAGAGTTGTTGTGTGGTGACGTAAACAACGCACCGCGAATCGTCCAAGTTGTTTACAATATTGTCAGTGGATAAGGGGAAATCCCATGTTCTAGAATATGCGATGATTATCTCGTTAAGGTAATTTCGAGAATGTTCTAGATAATCGATGCCGATATATATATACCGGCTGATTAGACGCTCATTCAGTTAGTCAGTCCGTGAGTACAATCCGCGACACACCGTGAATTACACTCCTCGATATATTCGGCAATTCCTCCGCAATTGTAACGCGTATCGATATTTGTACAAGATAGTAAGCTTGAAGAACTCGCTGTCCATGCAGACAACATCGCGGATGCATCTGGTCCTTTGCTACCTCAAATAGCAGAGACATCGAGAAGTGACACTCTTGAAACCATGTTGAATCTTAAAATTTCTCAGCTTTTACCTTGAGTATAATTCAGGAAATTGCGACGTTGAGAAGTGAAGTGGCAGCGATCAATACTCGTCCCTCGCGTAATCCGGACTCAAGTACTTACCGCTCAAAATCTCGATCTCGGAGCCGTACTCTCCATGGTGCAAATAGATTATGCTGGTATCACTGGCATTTTGGATCACAATCGCGAAAATGCAAGGAACCTTGTACCTGTAATTCGGGTAACGTGACGAGTCATCACTGATGACGGCCAGTGAAGCCAGTCCGTCCCCGCGCCGTATATTCATTACTGATCGAACTTCTCAAATTCAATTTCTCATCGACACGGGTGCCGACCTATGTGTTTATCCACGCAGTGCTGTTCCAGACCGTCGAGTAAAATCCGATTACGTCTTATCAGCAGCCAATGGCACGCCTATTAACACCTACGGTACTATCACGCTCAGCCTCAACTTCGGACTTCGTCTAGATTTCACTTGGACATTTGTGATTGCGGAAGTATCCTAACTCATCATTGGTGTGGACTTCTTGAGTCATTACAATCTATTGGTAGACGTGCGTAATCAATGTTTTTTAGACGGTGTTACATGACTCACCGCTCATGGTCACGCTGCTGAATCCTCCATACCATCCATAAAGATTGTCGTGGGAGAAACGAAATACGACTGTTTACTACGGAAATTTCCCGAGATCACTCGACCATATGGAGCGCCTAAAGACATTAGGCACAGCACCAAACACTATATTCAAACGACACCAGGACCCCCAGTATCTTGTAAACCACGACGCTTAGCACCTGATAAGCTCAAGGCAGCAAAAAATTAGTTTGAAGCTATGATCCAATTAGGCATTATTCGACCGTCCCAGGGACCTTGGGCATCACCATTACACTTGGTATCAAAGAACACAACGGACGCCTGGCGTCTTTGTGGAGATTACCGTGCTCTAAATGCTCAGACTATTCCAGATCGGTACCCGGTTCGTCATATTCAGGACTTTGCACACTTTCTCCATGGTAAAACGATTTTTTCAACAATCGACCTAGTCCGAGCATATAATAAAATGCCTGTAGCTGAAGAAGATATTCCTAAAACCGCAATCGTGACACCATTTGGACTTTACGAATTCTTCTTTATGTCTTTTGGGCTTCGAAATGCAGCACAATCGTTTCAACGATTTATTGACGAAGTACTTTTTGGACTTGATTTCTGTTACAGCTACATTAACGACATATTGGTGGCATCTGTTTCTGAGGAAGAGCACATCAAACATTTACAGATAATTTTTGAGCGTCTACGCGAATTCTCTCTGGTTGTCAATCCAAAAAAATGCGTTTTTGGACAGTCAGAAGTAAAGTTTTTAGGCTACATGATTTCTAGAGAAGGAACACATCTTCTACCCGACAGAGTCACTGACATTTTGAGCTACAAGAGGCCATCGTCCGCTAAGGGTCTACGACAGTTCTTGGGTATGATAAACTTCTATCGTCGTTTTATACCTGGAGCTTCAGACGCACAAGCACCACTAAGTGATCTTTTGATACCCAATTTAAAAGGTAAGTCACCTATTAACTGGACACCAGAGGCTATTTCGGCTTTTGAAAAATGCAAGGAGAAACTCGTCACAGCCACGCTTCTCGCACATCCATGCGAGAACGCTCGACTGGCTATTGTAAGTGATGCTTCAAACACCGCAGTTGGTGCAACTCTCCAACAGTTCATCAATAATGAGTGGCAACCTCTTGCCTTCTTTTCCAAGAAGCTCACAGCGACCAAGACGAAATACGGAGCCTGCGATTGAGAACTGCTCGCGATCTACCTTGCTGTCAAGCATTTTCAGTATATTGTGGAAGGACGCGATTTGGTTATATTCACTGATCACAAACCCATCACTTTTGCATTTCAGCAGAAATCGGATAAATGCACACTACGACAATTCAGGCACTTAGACTTTATCTCACAATTCACCACGGATATTAGGTATGTTCCAGGTAAGCAGAATATCGTGGCTGATACCTTATCTCGCGTTCACGTCTTGTCAGAGACAATAGACTACACTGCATTAGCGATATCACAACAGGGAGACGATGAATTAAAAAATACGAAAAAGAAAACACTGGACTACAATTCAAGCAAGTTCAATTACCAGGTACAAATGTCTTGGTGTTCTGTGACGTATTAACTTCAACCGTCAGGTCTTTTGTCGCAAAGCCATTCCGACGTAAAGTTTTCAATAATATACATCGCCTTGCACATCCAGGCGTCAAGGCCACGACGAAGCTTGTTAAACAGCGATTTGTGTGGCCAGCAATTGACGCAGATTGCAGACATTGGGCGAGGGCATGTGTAGAATGTCAACGAGCCAAAATCACGCGCCATGTCACAGCACCTCTTAGTTCATTTTCTTTACCGTCTCAAAGATTTGAACATGTTCATTTAGAATCTAATTCATTATTCTAATTCAATCTAATCATTATGCCTTATTCTGAAGGATTTCGCTATTGTCTCACGTGTATCGATAGATTTACTCGATGACCTGAGGTAATTCCATTGGAAGATCAAGAAGCGGCAACCGTAGCACGAGCTTTCTATACGCTTTGAATCGCAAGATTTGGTAACCCTCTTCGTATCACAACAGACCAGGGAAGACAATTTGAGTCATGCCTTTTCAAGCAACTTAATAACTTGACTGGCACGAACCATCTTAGAACCACGGCCTATCATCCGTCAGCAAATAGCATGGTGGAACGAAGCCATCGGCAGCTTAAAGCCGCCATTAAATGTCATCAAAATAATCGATGGACAGAAACTTTTCCGACAGTCTTATTGGGCATCCGAGCAGCTTGGCGCGACGATCTTAAATCCACCTGTGCAGAATTAGTCTATGGAGAGCCACTTAGACTCCCTGATGAATTCCTAACGTCAAAAGATAATGCTTCCAAGTTCGACGACGCAGCTGAGTTTATCAAAGATCTTCGACATCACATCAGCAGATCCGATCTGTCAATGGTACACGACATGGCGAGAAGAAAAACTTTGTTTTCAAAGACCTTGCAACCACAGAGTACGTATTCATTCGACATGACGGACCCAAAAATGGAATACAAATGCCCTATGATGGTCCCTATAGAGTCATAAGTCGAAATAAAAAAACTTGTCATTGATATAAAGAAGAAAAAAGTTAGAGTAACTATTGATAGACTTAAACCGGCCTACATCATAGTAGACGACCATTCTAAGGAAGATATTTTGAGAGAAATTCAGATATTTACACCGAATACCATTACAAAGGAGGATCAAAGGACACGTTCCGGAAGAAGAGTTCGTTTTCTAGACCGTCTTCAAGTAGGTTATGCTTGACTCCGTCACTTGTAGGGGAGTGATGTGGTGACGTAGACAACGCACCGCGAATCGTCCAAGTTGTTTACAATATTGTCAGTGGATAAGGGGAAATCCCATATTCTAGAATATGCGATGATTATCTCGTTAAGGTATTTTCGAGAATATTCTAGACAATCGACGCCGACATATATTTATATATACCGGCTGGTCAGACGCTCATTCAGTCAGTCAGTCCGGGAGTACAATCCGCGACACACCGTGAATTACACTTCGCGATATATTCGGCAATTCCTCCGCAATTGTAACGCGTATCGATATTTGTACATACATATTTATATAATATAGTGTCAATTTTAATTAAATTAAATTGCGAGTGGTTTTTATTACTTAAATCCCACAGTTGATTAGATTGATTGTCGGGTTATTAATTTTATTTATACAAAAAAATAGACAGATGAGATAATATTGTTCAACGCACAAATGTTGATTGGGCCACTGGGACGGCGGTCACCGACATCGGACACATTCATATTTCAGCAATCGCTGTGTTTCTCAATGGTTGACAGTCCAAACACGTTCTATTTACTATTTATTATAAAAAATGCCTAAAGTAAGTATCCAGATAATAAAACTCATAAAATAAACCCAATTAATTAATTGTAACTTGTAAGTTGTTAAATAAAGTTATGAATAAAATATTCATTATAATAAAAACATACAGAAAAATGCTTATTTTTTGTTCAAAAAAATTCATTTTAAAATGCATATTTTTTATATTTTAGTGCATATTTGGTGAATTTTTAGAGCTACAAGTCCTCTGCCCTAATAATTATCAATTCTTAAAATATTGTGTATTTCCAGAAATACGGTAAGTATATATGTAAATACGGTGTGTGTACACAACCATAATATTTATATAATAGTTGTAAATTAATATTTTAATAAATATAACTAATGTGTCCAATTTATATTATTAATTAAATAAAAATTTCAATAAATTACTTTCGTGGTAATTTGGTTAAATAATTTTTATTTTATAGTCTTTCAGTTTAATATATATAACGTAATAGTATAATGTAAAATTGTAAGCCCCTCCCTATATCGTGGGTTATTCCTATATATGAATAGATTGATAAATTAAAATGTTGTCTCCCCCCCCCTTGAGAATTTTTCTATGAGTGCTCTTGTGGTTAAGTCCAATATTATTACTAACAACAACAGGTGAGTGCACGACAACGAACAGGAACACAGAAATAGATGCTGACGACATTCAAAGTGTTTTAAATTAATTAAATTTGTCCGTTGGGCTCTTATTGTAATCTTATGCTTTTTCTCTCTCACATTTGCCATGATTTAGCGTCAATTCGCTATTGTAATTATGGCAAATTTCAAAATAGCCGTCTAGACGACCAATGAATCTAGTTCTAGAAAATTCGATTTCGACTTTCTACTACTGTACTACATTTTTGTTATAAGACTGTAAAATTATAACTTGCCCCCCCTCTTCCCATCCTAACCAAGGCTCTAGAGCCACTCCTGAATTCTTCTCTATCGTCTCTAAATATTTGCTTGCAGCCAGTCAGCCTGATGAGTCTGCCCTTATTGCACTTTACTTGAATGTACAATTGTTTCAACAATTTAAATAACAGACTCGAAATTTGAAAGCGTATTGGACGTATTGGCGTGCGCATGGGGTTGCCAGGCATCTTCCAAAATGTTGTAAATGACACCCTACAATTTAAGTCTTAAGAGTAAGGGGCCTGTATGTCAACTGGTGTTGCTCAAATTAAATGCAATTTTTTTTAAAATATTTGGTAAATAAATAAATTATATTTCGTAGTAAAAAAATAAAACATTATGTAGAATAATTTAAAGTAAAAACTTTTTATGATAATATAACAGCTAAATTGACTAATAAAGTACAAATCATACAAATTGAAGCTATTCAAGAAAAATGTACAAGATTCAAGAAAAACATAATCACTAGGACTATATATATATATCGCATATATCACTATATATCACAATATTTAATAAAAAATTGAAGTTATATTTATTTAATTATTTATACATTATAATTTATTAAATATACCTACACGTTTTCACTGACGCAACTAGACACTCGAGGGTCCTTAAGTCCTGGCACGGATCCAGAGTAAAGATCTGGGGGGGGCCTCTACAATTTTTTTTTATAGGTATTTTATTCATAATTTAAAAATTCTGTCATAATAGTAGGTAGGTATAGGACATAGGTAATCAATGTAATAAATAAATTAATGATTATTTAATTATACAAAATAAACCAATTTAATTAAACCAAAATAATTCTAAGAACTATTTTTTTTTTTTTTTTTTTTAATATCAACTTTTAATATAAAATCAGTTAAACAGGAATAAAATTGGATATTCCAAGTATACTATACTTGGCTCCTATTAATTATTTAGCCATAGTAATAATTTTATAATATTATTAAATCAATAATTTGTAGTTTAATATACCCCATAGGATATTAAAAATAATAACAATAACAGTATAATTATAGCAGAAATATATAATTTTAAGCAACATATAGATGTTTGAAGCAGAAAAAAAAACAATCACTTGCATTATTAAGGGGCTCCAAAGTTTCACTTTGCCAACTTATTCGCTAGTTGCGCCACAGCAAATAAGTTATGTATTACATTGTACGTATATTTATACATGCGGTTGTGGTTAAATAAAACGATTACATTCAATTTGTACACAATCGGTTTATTCGATAGTCGAAGTCGATTGGTGAGATTGGTATTTTCAGTAGAAAATAACGTTTGTACGTATTTATTAACGGTAATCGATTCGTTTATTTTTATATGGACATTATTAAGGGGCCCTCGATAAATCAGGGGCCCCAAAGTTCTATTTTGCCAAATTACCCGCTAGTTGCACCACTTCACGTTTTGTTAAGATAGGACCCGAAATAATTGAGAAATCGACGACGAGCAACCATTAGTCGATATGCGCACAGAACTAAATGCGCTAAAGTGGGCTAAAGTGGGCGCTAAGTGGGCTAACTCTTTTCGCCCAAAAATGACATTCCTCTTTTTGCCCACGTCCTCTTTTCGACCAAAAATGAAAAAACAGTTTCCTCTTTTCGCCCAAAAAAAAATTGTATTCTTTTCGCCCATGGTTTCACGTTTTACATTTTGGAAACCATTTTCTCAAAATTAATAATTTTTAAAAAAATCATATTTGATATTCGATAAAATCACGTTTTTGATTGTTATTAATATAGTCAGTCGAGAAAAGTGTATAAAGGTGCCGACTCTTCTATCGAAATATATAGTTTAAAACACTTTAATAAACGTCATAATTACTTAAAAGTCATAATTAATATGAATATTTGTATTATTTTACAACAACAAAACAAACTATTTAAGTAGTAACCTGATCAAATTACTTATTAGTTATTTTACATCGATAGCACTATTTTAAATACTTATTTTTAACACTTATTAAATTATTATTAATAATTATATATTTTTCTATTTTTTTATTTGATTATTATATGATTTTTTTAAAAATTGTTAATTTTGAGACAGTGGTTTCTAAAATGTAAAACGTGAAACCATGGGCGAAAAGAGGAAACTGTTTTTTCATTTTTGGTCGATAAGAGGACGTGGGCATAAAGAGGAAGGTCATTTTTGGGCGAAAGCAGTATCGCCTGCGAAAGTAGTATGCTCTTTTTTTGTGTATAATATTTATTTTTTTCCGTGATCCGGTGGTGGCACTGGTGTTCCTTTAGCTCATAATATTATTATTCTGATCCCGTAAGAGCCTGTGCGATTTCTTATCAGTGTCATTTTTGATCAAACCACTAAAATATTTAACAATATATCGTTATCTATAGCTAACTCCGGTAGACTTACTCAATCTATTATCATACTATCAGTCAAAGTAAAATACAATCCGATGTTCGCAAAAAAAATTTGTTAAGGTTGAAAGTCCAACTACAGGACTATTGAATTAAGTACAGTTTCTAGTCTTTACATAGTTTCATTTTCAAGTTGCAATTAGTGCAAAGAATCTTCTAGGAGACAACTTGGTACGATTGAAATAATATTTATATTGGTTATTAAAGTTAATATATAATTAGTTAACTCAGACATTTAAATTAAGGACCATTACCAATTTAATTTATGAAGTTTTACATTTTTTCCAATACTATTGTGGGTTATACAAATACATTTTAGACAAATATTTAAATGTCAATATTTTTATTTTCTAATCGTAGTGTGTTCAAAATGCCTAAAAAATTTGTTGGTATGAATTCTAAAGCCTTGGAAGCCAAAGCTCGCAAAGATGCTATTAAGCAAGAAGCAGATTTAAAAAAAAAAAAAGCAATTGAAGATGAATTGTGGAAAGATGATGACAAAAATGCTGCCAAAAAACAAAAAAGGAAGGTAGGTTTCTGTATCAAAGAATAATTCATCGTTCCTTCACATGGGTGTCTCCAGAAATTTTTTTAAGAGAGGGGCAAAATTAAATGAAAACTTTTACATTTTATACTTACATTTTATTATACATTATTCTTTTTCCTCAATTATAAGATATACAATAAGATAAAATAATCCAATTATTATTAAAGATAGTTTTTTCTATGTACCTATAATATATATCTTATATTAAAGTAATCTATGTTTATTAAATTGGCGCATTACAAATAATGCTTTGGAGAAAACAAATTTAAAATTCTAGGGGGAGGATAAGTTCCATATCTTGACCCCTCCCCTCCCTTGGGAATGCCCAAGATTATATAACAACCACTAAAATTACATATTATTGTATGCATGTAAAAATTATTGATCGATAAACTAAAGAACTTATGGAAAGTATGTCAACATAATTTTTAGTTGGTGATACGTATTTATCAAGTTTTTGATTTTGCATAAATAAATCAATTTATATCATATATTATGTTTTAATCAAGTATAAGAAATTATTTCACATAAAAATAAATATAATTAATATTTTTATTAATTTATATATAATATAAATTAAATAAAAACATAACAAATCTACCTTACCAAATTTAATTAGGTAAATGTATTTATTAACTATAAACTTACCATAAATATTAATTAAAAACAGGAAGAAAAAGAAAAGAAAAGAATTGATCAAATAGAAAAGAAACGAGAAGCACAATTACTTTTGGAAGAAGAACTTCGTGAAATCAAGACAAAACAAATCAACCAAAAAATTACTAGACACGAACTTATGGTATGTAGTTTTAAAATTATAAAATTATCATATGAGATTTTTATGAGTAAAAAATAATTTAGAAAGAACTCGATACTCCATCAGTTCCTAAGATGGAAATGGCTTTAAATGATGAAAGTCCAATTGAAGAAAATTTGAATCGTTTGACAATGCATGACGAAGAAGCACGGACAGTTGATGAGGCTCTTAATATGTTAAAGTAAATATTAATTTTATTTGATTATTAAGATTGTTTAAAGATTGTTACTAATTAATAAAAAATATGCTCTCTATATTTACTCACCATATTTACCTGTTGATATATTGTTATAGCCCTTCTCAAAAATTTTTGGACAAGCATCCTGAAAAAAGGCTTAAAGCAGCATATACTGCTTTTGAAGCAGAAAATTTACCAAGATTACGTTCTGAAAATCCATCCATGCGTCTATCTCAAGTAAAACAACTGATGAATAAAGAATGGATGAAGTCACCAAATAATCCTATCAATCAGAGATATATTAATTAAAACCAAGTTGAATCATTTATGATGATATTTTTTATGGTTATACTAAGAAAATTACTTGCAATTGTTTTGTAATACCTTGAAGTAATAATTGGATTAATTTACTGACTGAGAATGTAAGTTTATTCAATGTTATTGAAAGTTGTGGGTTTGAGATTTTAGTTCAAACTTCCGTAATAGCTATTAAGACACAAATAAATAAATTTAAGAAGAGTATTAATTTGTGATTTTATTTTAATTATGTAATTTTAGTCATTATTATTTATACAATATAATATATGTATTTAATATATATATATATATATATTTTATTTTATATATGATATATATATTATATAGTATAGTTATTCTATCTTGATTATTACTTGGGCTTGTTGCAGCATTTACATATTTGTTTTGATGATTCTGATTATATCTATGTATATTATAAATTCATATCATGCATTTTCTAAAAAAATATATTTGACTATTTTTATATTTTTAGGATTGTATTATGCGTATATTGTCACTTCAAAGTAGATAAATATTAATATAAAAAATAGTCTTTTTTAATATTAGTTATTTGTATTTTTACATTCAATTTGACTTTTTTTTGTATATTTCAACATTTTTTATAATCAAAGAAGAAATTAGTATACTTTATATCCCTACTGCTGATGATTTTTTAACAAAATTTTGTTAAATATATGTATATATCAAAAAATTATAACAATATTTCAGTTGTATATCATGTACATATCTTGATTTTTTTATGTTTACAAGTTATGATCCCTAGTCATTACATACACAATTTTGTTTTGTTACATGATTGCATAAAAACAATTAAAAAAATATCTATGTTACAGTAGCAGTTTTTAGGGAGTGCGAAGGAGGTGCTCCCCCTTTAGATTTTTTTTACGGTTTGTATATTCTATTATTTGATAACAAAGGACGAATAAAAATTATCAAAAAAATACAGACCTACAACTAGAATTAATAAGGTTATGCTAGTCGGATTTAAGCGGGTTTTTCAGATAATAGTCAAATTTATGGACTTTTTACTATATTTTATACTCCAATAAAATTAAACTATTTAAATTATGAAATAAAAATTAAAGTTATGTCATTTATAATAGAATTATAAACAAATTGCATACCTTGTTTGATATAGATATATAATTATGGTGGGGGAAACAAATTGAAAATAGCTCCTCTCCTTGATGTTTTAGGTTTAGGTAAAAGAAATAATTATTGTAATAGAATTCTCCCAAGAGTCTGTGAAATAATTCTTTAATATTGATTATTATCTTGGATAAATAAAATAGGTTTATCATACATAAAGTTATAGCATTGATATAATGAATCATGGATATTTAATTATATACTCAAATATTACTATATTACAACTATTTATAATATAATTAATTGATTTTTAAAATATTTAAGTGATAGGATACTGATAATTTTTATTATGTATATCTGAGTTATTTAATAAGTTAATAGTACCTAAGTTATTAATTATTTATCAACATAAATACTAAAGAACAATTTTAAAAACTAAATAATAAAGAATGAATTACTTTTCTTGATAATTAATAACTAATGTATAAAAAATTTGAAGAAGACAAATGCAGCAGAAAAAAAGGAGTATATTATATTTATAAATGATCACTTATATTTTATATTTATTATTTATTTACATTTTGTATAAGTAAAACGCTCTAGAAAAGCAAATAACTACCTACACGCAGTGGTGTATCGGTAAATATATTTAAGGGTATATGCACGAAAAAAATGGATATTTATCTCAAAAAAATGTTCTCACTTCATTGGACATTTTTCTTCGCTACTTTGAAACAAATTAAATGCAGTGGCGCATTTAATATATATGCGCCCCGGGGCAAAATCATTTTTCCGCCCTTCCTACTTACCAAAAAAAAAAAAAAATATATAAATAAATTCAAAGTTAAGCAACAAAAAAATTAATTTTATGAAACAAATTATAAATCAGTTGTTTTGCTATATTGTATTAGATAATTTTATAGTAATACATATTCTAACGTTAACCTAATTTTTTTTTTCAGTAAATATTCCTTTCTTAAAAAAAAAAAAATATATATATATAATATACATAAATAATATATATATATATATATATTAAATATAGAAAACGGAATTAATACTTATTGTATACACAATGATTAACAATACATGGATTTTATTAGATTAAATATATTATATTTATTATTAATTATATATAATAAAATAATCGATAGCTTATAATTTTTTTCTTGACTTTTGAGAAGAAAAATGTTCAATAATATCAATAAAATTAATAGTTTTCGTTAAATCAGCTTAAAGTTGAGGGTTGTTAATTAATTAAGACGATTTTCTTTCGTTGTTGATGTTAAATAAGTTTTGTCCTTTTTTAATGTAGAAAATGATTTTTCTGTTGAAGGGGTACATATATAGTAGCATTTTTAGAGCAATATCAATATAAGGATATACTTCAACTAAACTATTCTCTTTTATAAATGCTAATATACATTGAACACTTTTAGGTACAATATTACTTCATTTGTAAACTTTTTAAATGTGACCTTAAGTGAATATCGCGTTTTGTGTACCCGAGTATTTATTATAAACATTGAACGAAAATATAATATCTTATCGAATAATAAATCTAATATACCTATTTTGCTATTTCACTATTACCTAGGTGACTAGGTATAGTATAATTTTTTTAATTTCTTATTAGATGCTCAACAATATTTCTTAAAATACTAAACAATACCGAAAAAGGTGTGAAAATTAAAAAAATCATGAACACATCAATAATAAAAGTTAGAATATTTTGCCATTGGGGGCATTTGCCCCTTAAATACGCCATTGATTAAATGAATCCCTTACATGTTTATAACTTCTATTAAAACTATAAAATACAACCTTACGAAATACACATTTGTCATGTGTTATAAGTTACATGCAGAGTTATGATGCAGAGTTAAGAACCATGGGCTGAATGTCCATACTTCACATATTTTATAAAATGTTATTTACTAAATTGAACCATTGATTTTATAATATAAAGAAAGCCATCTTATAGTTAATATTGGTAGCGGCTACGTGCATTTGGCCGCTAGACGTCGTTGTTTTTCTCTACATTCAAGAAGGGTATTATATGGGATGGGTAATAAACAGGTTTATGCGGGTATTGATTGTGTACTGTACAATATATTTTCATTGATAAATATGATATATCATTTATATACATAGGCGCAATTTGGGGGGGATTGGGCGTGCTTAGCACCACCGAATGTGTTTTTGTTAATTTACATTTAAATACTTATTACTCATTATGTATAGAAAAACATAATAGTTTTTGAGTTTTTTTGTATAAATATATACATTTTTATACAACACAAAAAAAAATATGTACTTTATAATTTTGTAAATTTAAAAAAATGATTCATCATTAGTATTGTACCATAGTACAATACTATCTGTATATAATTAAATAACTTACTAGGTTTTTGTCAGTATCACTCAAATCACAATTTACAAACAATCAATATCATTTTTCCGTTGAAACCCGATTGAGCACAGTCCCTATTTTTGAAAAACCCGATTGAGCACGGTCGATAATATTTAATAGCCCAATTGAGCACAGTCAAACGAATGCAGCGTTGCCAGTTTTTCTATCCGACTACAACCGAGCTACAAGCGTCTTTTGAAATACTCGTATTCAATATATATTCATATGGGAGGTATTTAACCGTAGAGCATGGTGATTATTTTCATTCGTGGTTTCCCATCTCTTGAAAAGCGGCACGAGTCTAAAGAAAATCGATAAATAATATAAAAGTTGTTTAGGAAACGACATAATCGTAAAATCAAAATATGTACATCTATACATTGACGATTACGATTTTCTATTAAATTGGATATTATTTGTTATCTACACAAAATATAGAAGCGAGCTTTTGTATTGTTAGCTGTAGAACTTAGACTCAGTACTATCAGGTGTTAGTAGTTAGTGGTTGTTCGTCGTTACAAGTTACACCGTTTTATTTTAGACATTTTAACTTTTTTTATATACATCGAACGCGATGGAAAATAATGAAATAAAAGTTATTGTATCAGAGCGAGGAAAAGAATTAGCTAATGTTGGAGCTTTAAGTATAGACTTATTGGATTCATAAAAAAAGGCGAGTTATTAAAATGGCGATGCACGAAAAATATTTGTACAGCTATGATTTATTCTGGGCCAGATAAAAATATTGTTATTAAATCAAGTGGACAACATAATCATGTAGGAAATTCACCTAGTAAATTAGAAAGGCAAGTATTACGTGAAAATTGTAAAAGACGTGCTGAAGAGTCACTGTCAACTCAACCTTTAAAATTAATCAGAAACGAAATTTTAAATAATTTAGAACTGTCTTCAATTGTTCATAAAGATTTAAAAACAGTTCGTAAGGCTATGTATGATAGACGACGAAAAATACTTCCCGAATTGCCGAAGTCACCGGAAGACGTTTTTTTACAGTTGAATTTAATGAAAACTCAAGAAGATTTTAAGTTCCATGGACAACCATTCATAAATATTCCTGCAGACAATAGTTTTGTATGTATTACTTGTGATTTCAACCTACAATTTATAATTAAACATGATTGTATTGATTACTATATACTATTCATGGATATAAAAATGGTTATTATTTGTCATTGGTTTATTTTTTTTTATTTGAAAAATCAAAATATATATATATAAAAAAATGTGGATATTCCTACAAGACATATGTATAAAATATACAGGAAGTCAATTCATATTAAAAAAATTATACGTTGACTTTGAAAAGGCTGCTCACCAAGCCGCATATGAAGTTTTTGAAAATGTACAATTAATAGCTTGTCGATTTCATTTAGGCCAATCATGGTGGCGAAAAGTAAGTACAAAATAATTTCAAATCAAATAATCATACATTAATTGTATTCTTAATTACTATAGATAAACAGCGATTCTATTCTCAGAATAGCCTATAAAAAAGAAAACGGTGAACTAGGAAATTGGATAAAGAGTTTTTTTGGGTTAGCTTTTCTTCTCAGTCATGAAGTAGCTGATGCATTCGTCGAACTCATGAGTGTCTGTCCAAATGATAGAGTCTGCTCAGAATTTAGCGATTATATTTTTAATAATTATATAGATGACGAATCTCCATTTCCCCCAAATATGTGGGCTAAAGAACCTATGTTCGATCCAAGGTAGATCAT